GAACTCCATCATATAAATGAACTACATTTTCATTATCCACTCATCAATTAAGGGACACCTAGGTTGCTTCCATCTCTTAGCTATTGTGAAAAGAGCAGCAACAAACATGGATGTACAAGTGTCTCTGCAATAGGATGAGTTCTTTGGGTATATGCCAATGAGTGGTATAACTGGTTCAGATGGTAGGTTCATTTGTAGTTTTTTAAGAGTTCTCCACACTGCTTTCCATGGGGGTTGAACCAGTTTGCAGCCCCACCAGCAGTGGATGAGTGTTCCCCTTTCCCCACATCCTCTCCAGCATTTGGTATCATTTGTTTTCTTGATCTTAGCTAGTCTGACTCGGGTAAGGTGAGTTATTCAAGTAATAGAACTTCATCCAATAAGATATTACTCCTTAGAAATTATAATTTATCATTAGTAATTAAACCGAACATGATTATGGTGTCAACATTAATTCACAAATGATTTTACCTAATTATCCTCAAGGAATTGTATATTAAAAGGCTATTAAAAATTTTCATGTCTTTTAAAGGTATTCTGGGGCCAAGAACATTTGAATTGTTTAGTTCTTCTTCATGAGTTATTCAGTGGCTATCTGAATGAGGAGGGAAATTATAAAGTACAAGTTCCTGAAGCAGTGCCTCAAATGCCATCTCCTGCGGAAAAAAATCAGGCCTTTAAAAGTGAGCAAAGTTCAGATGATTTGAGGACAGGTCTCTTTCAGTATATACAAGATGCTGGTAAGTACCAACAGCTTCAGCCTAAGAGTAAGTGTGTTCAGGGGCAGGCTCAATGCATGTTCATTAAGTAGCACTGTGAGAGAGTACTTGAAAAGAGCATTCATTCTTGCAGTACAAAAATAGCACATTACTATCCAGTCCCTCCTAAAAAATTGATTTTTTTTCTGTCTCAAAACATATAAAAATGACCAATTAGCTTCTTCATGCAATTTCTTTTATTTGCTCTCTCTTGCTGAGAAACCAACATGTTCCCTTTTAAAAGCATGCAATTAATTTTATTTTCATTTGGCAGAACCTTTGAAACTTCCTGGTGTCTATGAAGTCTTGTTTTATAATGAAACAGAAGAGAGTCCAGGGATGATGCTATGGAGGTATCCAGAACCTCGAGTGCTCACCCTTGTACGAATAACTCCTGTGCCTTTCAATACCACGGAGGATCCAGATATTAGCACAGCAGACCTGGGTGATGTGCTACAGGTATGTAGTAGCTGTTTTATTGTTGTCTTTTTCTGAAAATAAAAGCATTATGGGAAAGTACTGACCATTCATTAAGAAAAAATGTTTAGTGCATACTTATTTCTTATGTCAGTAGTATCAAACATAAGTATATTCATGTGTGTTCTGTATATACATTTTGGGTGTGTGTGTGTGTGTGTATGTGTGTGTGTGTGTAATATAGGAGAGTTGTAGTCTGATCAATGTCTCTGGACCACCTATGGTAATACAGATCTGGAACAGTTCCAGTTGCCCAGGCAATAGACTTGGCATATAAGGCCAAATACAGCTTGAAGGAAGCTTGGCAGTTCTCAATAGACAATATCAGAATAGCCATGTCATGTTTTATAGTTTCATAGAAATATAAGGAACCAAGATATGGGCAAAGTTTAAAATCAGAGTTATGGCCCAGAGAACAAGACAGGGTTGCAGTTCTGGAAGCTGAGAGAGAGAGAGCTTCCTCCAGAACCCACAGCATGGATAAAGGAACAGAGCAGGACAGTCAGGAGGGCTGTCCCTATGCCATGCTCCTGAGACTCTGGAGAAGTCCCCATGTTGTCCCTTCTAGGTGCAGACTTTAACTCCAGGCATCAGATTGGTTCATTGATAGAAACAACTCTAAGTTGCAATCTTAGAATCATACAAACTTTGTTTCCTTGGAGCTTCTGTTGAAAACAGAAAATTGTAGCATTAGTCACAGGTTTGGTTTAACTCAGATTTTTTCCCTCGTGTACCTATAGTACTAGACCCTAAGCTTACCCTTAGGAATCAAGAAACAGGTAAGACTCTCTTACAAGTTGGAAGTTGAGTCTAGCAGGAAAGTATCTATGGTTGTTTGGGGGCGGGTATAGAAGCATTTCCCTATTTCAGGTTTCAAGGAGGACTTGCCTATTGTCAAAATCATTTCTTGCTGCCTGTGATCATCTCTAACTCTGTGCTGGAGGCACAGCTGTAATGTTGAATGGCTGATCCTGAATGAAAGGGTGGCATGAAAGGTCAGTTTGGGTTAGTGCAAATACCATGGACTCTGAAATGTCTTCTCCCCACTGCTCTTTTTACTGACTCAGTTTCCTTAGGCAAACTTCTCGTGTCCTTGAGCTTCAGTGTCATTGACTAAAAGTAACAGCTGATGTTACCTATTTTTCAAAATTAATTTTGGGATATTATAGAAAATGAGATATTACAACTAATAATGCTTAATAAATACCATTATACATAGTGAGCTCTTTAAGGTTTTTATTTCCTTCCCTCCACTCCTTTTATACAGATGTCTAGAGACTATTAAAAGAGATTCCTTAATAACATCTCAACCTTCAATCTAGCCTTCTTGAGTCTTTTAGGAACAGATGGATTGGATAATTTCCTGAAGAAAGCCTTCAGTAGCTCTGTCATCCTGCTATGCTGACCTTGATAACCTGGCAGGCCCTAGACGAGATAGGAGTTAAACATCAGTTAAACTGGCCCATTTTATATTCTCCAAACTAGCTTGTATAACAACCCATTTTCCCCTTGAATTCCTCCGTTTTTTGAAACTGAATCCTACCCACACCTCGGGAGCAAGTAAAATGCCATCTGTTCCTTGGAGTCTTCCTTGGATACCATGTCCAATATGTTATTGCCCTATTTCGAAATACTGTAGCATTTATGCCACTTCTTTGATGCTATTTTTCACTTTCTCCCTTACAGATTATCTTATTTGTCTGTATCTTATATCCTCCCTAGATTGTAAATCTCTAAAGAAAGGGGCCATATCAGTGTGTTCCTTATAGTACCCAATGCAGTAGAGATGCTCAATAAATAATTAGGAATGAGAATATAGATGCCTATTTTCCTATATCATACTATTCCAAACTCTTGCATTATTTATCAGTATTCTAAGGAGCTAATGCATGCATGTTAGTGTTCTTAACTGAGCTGTGTCAGGATGTAGCATGCTATTCTTCAGGAGTATCTTCTGCCATAAACACAGTGTAATGTTGTTATGATACACAGGCTTTTGGTTAGATCATTAAATATTCTGCCAAGACCTCTTTTCCCCTAAACAGAGGCTAGTTCCTAAATAACAAGATAAATCAACTGATTGGCTCTAGTCCTAAAAACAGAATTGAGTTTGGATGACTTTTTCCTTCAGGACCATTAGTTCATTAAAAAATGACCTTACAGAGTTCAGTTATGCTACCAACTCTTCAGGTTCATTTGCTTATATGCCACCATTCCTTGGTGGTTAATGAGATTTATGAACAAATCCTGTGTATTACCTTATGGAATTTATTTTGGAATTCTATGGAATGTGGGAATATGCCTATAGTATTCAACTAACCATAGATTCTGAATAAAGACCCTGAGAATATTGTTCAAGGAAAGAAAAATAAGCTTATTTTCTGTCAGTTTACTTATTACTTAAATCTTAAAGTTATTAGTATACTTACATTTCAACAAAGTTAAGGAGTATAGGGTTAAATAAAATTAAGATCTTTAGGAATTGTAAGGTTAAAGTAATGCTACCAACCTAAAATGAGTGCAGTGTTTTAAATGAGCTTATGTATTAGAAGTTTCTGGCCTTGTATCTGGTAATTACCAAGTTTCCCTCTCTCCTAATCCTACTGTGTACACTGTATCTATTAAGGATTCCACTTTGGAAATTTCACATCCTACAGTTGAAGTTTTTACCCATAGTATATATTAAAATTGGCAATGAGTATTTTAATTCTTAAGTAGATCCATTATGGTACTTGTTTTAAGAGAAAAATAATATTTAGTTTGGCCTGTTGTCACATGCCAAATTAATATATTTAAAAGTTTACTGCAACATATAAATGAGAAAACAAGAGAACAGTATTGATGGAAGAAGAACAAATTTTGAAGCTTGAGCATATCTTTTTAACCAAGAAGGTGCTTTGACATTTTATATTAATAAAAAGTTTTTTGTCTCTAGTTAAATTTACCCTTCAGGTGTCAGAATTCTCCAAATTGCATTTTTTTTCTTTGAGTGAAATCTTCAGAATTTAGTACAGAATTCTGATATTAAAAAATCATGACTATAGGAGTGCTGGCTCAGCAGTTAAGAGCACTGGCTGCTCTTGCAGAAGACCTGGGTTCAAATCCAAGCATTCACATGGCAGCTAACAACATCCATAACACCAGTTCCAGGGAATCTGACACCCTATTCTCTCCTCCACAGGCACTGCCCAACATGGGTGCACATACATGCAGGCATAACACTCATACACATAAATAAAAATAATTTTTTTAAAAATTAAAAAAAATTGTGACTATAGTCCTTACAAGATATCCATACAAGGATACAGAAAGAAACAAGGAAAAATCAACTGCCGTTTGTTTATCTCTGATAATGCACTTAGACCCAGTTCACTGTCACTTACCCAGTGACAGGAAAATTAGTTTTAAAAAATAACACTAATATGACTAAACGCCAAACTGAAGCCACATTGAAAAAATGACAAAAAAAATGTTCTGTGAAATGATCATTATCTCCCTTTTACAAGTGGAGGAACCAAGACCTAGAACGGCTAATTAACTGTTCCTTAATGATGAAAGTTGTAAGTCAGGGAGCCACAGCTTCATTCCCAGGATTCCTGACTTCAGAGTGTATGCTCTTTGCAAAGAAGTGGGAGGATAATATTCCAGGTGATTCACTAGAGTGGCAGTGAACCCCACCTACTGGGAAATGTGGAGGAAAAGAAAAGTAAAATTAGCATTTTACTTTATCAAATTGTGAAATAATTATTCAGTAATATGCAAAGTAACTTTACATCAACAAAAGACAGTGGGTATTAGGATATCTGAAGAAGAATATTTCCTTTATGTGGAGAACTGTTTGACTCTGGAGTCCTGGGGGAGTCACACAAGCATGCAGGAACAAAGCTTTCCTGGCATCCAAAAACATGGTACACAGGTATCTGGTTTACCTGGTAGCTAAATCCCCTTTAGAGAGATGAATGTAGCAGTGTCAAATCTCTGTGTCTAATATTCAAATCATGTAACCCCCTAAGTAACTTTCCAATCATGTGACTCCCAGTGTAGTCCATCTGCTGAGAGAGTGTTATACATTGGTTGGGTCAGCATTAGTATCTAGAGGCTGTTTGGCTTCTGCACATGTCACGGTAAACTAATAACCTGCCATGTATCAGTCTACAGTAAATGTTAGTGTGGGTCTGAATCCGCAAGTCTAGTCAGTTTTAGGATACCACTAAAATTCTGTGAGACCTTAAGACCCTGGGCTACACCTTACATGCTTTCTTGTGGGTATCTGCCTTCTCAGCAGTTCTTTCCCAAACAGCATCTCTGTTGTTCATTATGTCACAGACCCTTCCTGGCTCCTACTTTTACCACTAAGAATTACAAGGAATAGATCCTGGAGAGATGGCTCCATGGTTAAGAATACTGGCTGCTCTTGCAGAGGAACCAGGTTCTGTTCCAAGCACCCACATGGTGGCTAATAACCATCCATAACTCCAGTTCCAGGGAAACCAATGTCCTCTTCTGGCTTCCATGGGCATTGCACAGCACATTTACATACATGAAAGCAAAACACTCATACTCATAAAATAAAATAAAAATAATTTTTTAAAAATTATTTTAACCAAGAAGGTGCTTTGACATTTTATATTAGATTTATACATATTAAATCTTATATATAAATCTTTATGTATAAGATTTATAAGGAATAGGGATACCATATGTAGAGCATGTAGCATGATGCCCTTCATAGGTAAAGGCTCAGTAAAGTATTGTGATGGCCAGTGGTAGCCATTATGATTATTATTACCGTGAGTTATCATCAGTACCATCATCATCCTATCAGTTGATCAGAGAGTCTGGATCTAGAGACTAGAGAGATAGCTCAGCAGTTGAGTGCTTAATGTACTTCCAGAGAACCTAAGTTCAGTTCCCGCACCCATGTCAAGCAGCTCACAACTGCCTGTAACTCCAGCTCCAAAGGATCCAATATCCTTTTCTGG